GACGACGACGACGACGACGACGACGAAGAAGAAGAAGAAGAAGAAGAAGAAGAAGAAGAAGAAGAAGAAGAAGAAGAAGAAGAAGAAGAAGAAGAAGAAGACGATGACGAATAAGACGACGAAGAAGAAGATGATGACGAAGACGATGACAACAAAGAAGACGACAAAGAAGACAACGAAGAAGACGACGACGAAGAAGAAGAAGAAGACGAAGAAGACGAAGAAGAAGACGACAAAGAAGACAAAGAAAAAGAAGACGAAGAAGATGAGGAAGACGATGAAGAAGACGATGAAGAAGACGATGAAGAGGACGACGAAGAAGACGACGAAGAAGACGACGAAGAAGACGACGAAGAAGACAACGAAGAAGACAACGAAGAAGACAGCGAAGAAGACGAAGAAGCTGACGAAGAAGAAGGAAGAAGAGGAGAATAGGAGGAAAAGGAAGAGGAAGAGGAAAAGGAAGAGGAAGAAGAAGAAGAGGAAGAGGAAGACGAAGAAGAAGAGGAGGAAGAGGAAGAGGAAGAGGAAAAGGAAGAGGAAGAAGAAGAAGAGGAGGAAGAGGAAGACGAAGAAGAAGAGGAAGAAGAAGAGGAAGACGACGAAGAAGACGACGAAGATGACGACGACGGCGACGACGACGAAGATGAAGAAGACGACGACGAAGACGACGACGAAGAAGATGACGAAGAAGATGACGACGACGACCAAGAAGAAGAAGAAGAAGAAGACGACGAAGACGAAGAAGACGACGACGAAGACGAAGAAGACGACGATGAAAACGAAGACGACGAAAACGAAGACGCCGATGACGCAGAAGACGAAGACGACGACGACGACGGCGATGAAGACGAAGATGACGACGACGACGAAGACGAAGACAACGAAGAAGAAGAAGAAGACGACGATGACGATGAAGACGACAAAGACGACGACGATGAAGAAAAAGATGACGACGAAGACGAAGAAGAAGAAGAAGAAGAAGATGACGACGAAGACGACGAAGAAGAAGAAGAAGATGACGACGACGACAAAGAAGAGGAAGACGACGACGAAGAAGAAGAAAAAAAAGACGATGACGACGACGACGACGACGACGAAGAAGAAGAAGAAGAAGAAGAAGAAGAAGAAGAAGAAGAAGAAGAAGAAGAAGAAGAAGAAGAAGAAGA